AATGGAAGAGCTTGACCCCCCAAAATGTTTGTTTGATTATTTGATATAATAATAATAAAAATCAGTATTCTCGCAATTATGTGTGACATTTGTTGGCATTTTGCTAATTATTTCACTATGATCCTGCGGACAGGACGAGCAGATCTCACACAAAATGTTTTCATTTTTCTTTTCATGGCTTTTGGGCAGATTTTACTGCTGCTTTTTTGTGGAAATGAGACCATTACCATTGAAAAGTTGGACACACCAACTCAATGTAGACTTTGGATCATGAGAAACAGTCACAAACCAAAATTGTAATATTGCTGACAAAAAAAAAAAATTAAAAATACAATAGTGAGTCAAAATTCTAGAAATGCAAATAGGTCACTTCCATGAGGTCAACTTGACCCCCTTCATGTATTCTAGGGTTAGGATCCTAAATCATGTCATATGGCATCTACAGATAGGGTCTATATTATATTATTAGTTAGACAAAGGCACTAATGCAGAAAGACACGCATGTATCAATACAACATGAAAATTGTATGATAAAAATTCCAGCCTGTACCTGTTGTGCACTTCCGCCCCACCTTTGTAAAAGCCTTTTACTCAAATTCATGCACATGCAAGCACAAACCCACACACACACTCACACAGACAGAATTGCACAGGGGACTGTGATGGAGTAGAGTGGCAAGGGAGAGAGACAGCGTGAGCAGCTAAAGGAGTTCATGTGTGACACATCCCCCTGAGAGCTGGTGGAGGGGCAGCCACATGAAACCTATTAGCACGGGAGTCTGCTAGAGTGTCATTCTATGGCATGGCTACCTCGCACAAAACCCTTTCCTCCCTTGCAATTCTGTCACCACAGCTCAGAGCAGACTCTGCCTCGTTCCCTACAATTAGATTAAGAAAAGCTCACAGACATTAGGCAACATATTATTATGCTTGTGACCCCACAGCCTGGTCTCATTGTTAATACGTAGGTATTAATACGTTATTTTCTAAGATAGAAAACGTACTTTTTTATACGTTTGGATAGATGCTGAAACGTATAATATGGACGTATCTGCAACATTTAAACGTAACACTATTACGATTTTACAGCTACAAAACGTTAACTATTTACGTATATTCCATATCATAAAGATATCTGTATCATTTCCCTTTTACCATTGTATAGATGTAAGATCCCTTAACCATATTCCCAAACCTAAACATACCCATTTTATACAGAATATAAAAAGGATAAAATGTAATGGACAGATATGTGTAGGGAAATGGCAGTTTCCCAGATAGCAAAATCTTACGGGCATTTTCTGGATTCTTCTGGCATTTGTTTGGTTTGTGTACGATGTTGGCAAATGGATGGCAACCCTGAAGAGTTCCGGAATCGGTGGTGGCGCAGCTGGAGGTGGTGGAGGGAGGGGCATTATTTGGCTCTCTTCTGGCAAATATGAAACATGCCAGATTCAACGTATTTTTCAGTTGCTGTTGTGTGGGAGTGATTGTGAAATTACTTAAACAAGTATTTCCTCTCCAGTTTTATCATAAGATATATATATATATATATATATATATAGCCTCTAATGGACAACCCAGCCGGCATATGACCGACCTTCAACGTTGAAATATGGTTGAAATAATGTCAGTTGATGTTAACAATGTTGATATAACGTTTAATGCTAAATGGTTGAAAAATGTTAACAAAAACACTTCTAAATCAACGTTGAAATTTTTACAAGATCTGTACGTAGAAACAACGTAATGTTTTCAACAGCATACAACAGAAATATCTGCCTTATAAAGTATTATTATGATCATTATTTAATGATATTCTGATAATACAGCCTTTCAATGGATATGTTAAAATATAATTATTATCATTATAGACAACTCTCCAATAATTTCAACCTCAAGTGCAGCAGAAACTTTTTGCTTTACGTGAATTTTGTGTGGATTTACAATTTATTAACAATGTAGCATTAAAATATATTTTGAGCCACTAATCCTATACTCCTACCCCTAAACCTACCCATAACCATTCCTTAAAACTACGTAGACTACAATTATGAAGAAAAACATAACAGACAGACTAATCACAATAATTTATTTATTGCGAAAATGTCAAAACCGGTACCAAAAGTCGTTCACATGATGATGTGTTACAGTCCTCTCTGGCAGTATTATAATAGTTGTGAGGTACAGAGCAGAATTTAAGTTAATAATCCATGAAAATGTTAATCCGGCTTCGGTGAAGGCGGCGGCGCGCGCGCTTCTCCATTTCAAATGTACTACCAGATCACCCACTGAACACGGCATGTCGCAATCTGTGACGAAGCATGGAAGAGCCAATGAGCGCATATACATTATTGCTGCGTCCCAATTCGCCTACTTATACTACGCCCTAAAAGTATGTACTCTTTTTGTGAACAAAAAGTACATACTTTTGAGTGTGTAGCAAAAGAGTAGGCAAGCTTTGGGACATACTACTTCGTCATCTTTAACGGACAGATCTGTCGCGTGCATCCTGTCACCGTAATGCCCTGTCAATCATCTCGTCACAGTTAAAATCCTCCATTCAATCTAATATAACTTCTTACCATTTCGGAGAGAATTGTTGTCGCACGTTCATCTGCCAGTCATGGGTCTTTCATGCGGAGACTCTCCTCATGTGTTTGGAATTTGAATATAATAATGCATTTAAAAGTTAATGGCTAAACGTATCTTTGCAAAAGTCCACAATGCTGCTGCAGATGCAATATAATGTGGACAACATTGAATAAATACATTTTCGTCAGGTTAGATACTCAAGCCGAACGAACGAACCCCCCCTCCCCCTCACTGCCGGTCCAGAATTTAAGTCGTTGTTATATATATATATATATATATATATATATATATATATATATATTAAAAGGATTTATATTTTATACATTCAATAGTCTACAATTTAATATAGCCATATAAACGTAGCGTAATTATAATAATAAAACATAAGTGGGAGATTGGCAGTGCAATATCGACTTTTGTGATTGGCCAATACCGGCAGACTGGAGCCAATGGGAATGCTTCTCCTTCGGTGCGCGTCTTATTCCTCTGAGAACTTCAAAGCAGACCGCTTGAGGTAAATTATCTGGAATGATTTAATTGATTTACGATGCCTAGAATGTGAGAGTGTTATGTCCTAATGGTTTGGTTAGCATAAAGGTTTTTGCTGGTGATTATGAGTGTTTTTGTATGCGTGTCATGTTAGCTTTTTTTATTAACTGTTTTGTACCGATTCACTGATAGTGTGAGGAGGTATGACATCACGAGTATGTTCTAGTTGAGTGAAGTTGGATGTACATACATTTAATGAGTGTTTAGTCATTGACAAAGCCTTTAAAAAGGTGTTTTTACTGTTTTTATGTCAGGTACAACCAAATAGTGAGTATGGGGCGAAAAGAGCAGGAGAGACGGAAGAGAAAACAGGCAGCAGCGTCATTGTCGCAGAATATTGAACATATGTTCAAAAAAACTGGCAGACAGGGTAAGGTTGTTATACATAACCTATAACATTTGATAACTTGATAGCTAACAGTCGTCAACCCCACAGGAGGATAAGGTAGCTGATGTTGTTCCAGTGAATTTTCTATCTTAGATTAGAATCTTAGATTAGTCAGGGCTCGACATAAGATGGCCAGTAAAAGAGCATGTCGGGTTAGTTGATTGGCCAGTCACTGGCCCGCCATCAGCAAATCAAACAGCAAACGTTTTTGGAATTTGCGCGTGCAAATTCGTTATTTCAAATGTAGGCGCGCGGTATAAGCGCTCTCATTATTGAAGTGACACGGCGCGCTCGTTTTTCCAGATGCGCCTCTGTTCACGGTTGCATAGCAACGGCAGACACCACAGGAAAGCTTGTAGAAAAAAGGAGAAAGCGGTGCAAACTGCGCTCTCTGTGATGAAAAGGAAGTATCAGGAAATAAATAATTGATTTCTAGCCCTTTTATTAGCTTTACTATTATATATATTTATGTACAGGAGAAATAAAAAGCTAATAAATAATTGATTTCTAGCCCTTGTATTAGCTTTACTATTAGATATATTTATGTAGCAGCTAGGCTACATGAGAAATAAAAAGCCGCTGTGTGCAGCTATTTTGAGCTATTCGGCCGAGATTTCGATGTCGTTAAAGAAAGGCATTTTAAAATTAAATATAAATGCAGTTTTGGATCAAATAAAAGTAAGTTACAGTCAAGTCAAATAAAACACGTTTTGTCTCCTGTATAGTTTGGTAACACTACAATAAGAGACCATTCAATAACATTACTTAATAACATAACATAATAACAAACTAATAACATTATAATAATATAATGCGTTATCTAACATCAACATATTGAGTGAACAATATATTTTTACAACATTAAAGAGTTAGTTCGCCATTTAAGACATGAAGTCACATCTTGCTATAACATTACATAGCCTACACGCTCTCACACTTTTATTTTTAAGCATTTTTGGGAGGAGTAAAATTTAGATACGTGGTTTCAACAATCAGATGCATTTGATTTACACTTCGCAGTTTTAAGTTTTCGTCTGGAATCTCGTCACAGATCTCCTGAAGAAGTGGTTTGAGCGATCAGATTTAAATTGTCTCGAATGTGCTTCGGATGGCATTTATACATGGTCTTTTCACGATCAGATCACCAGAACACGCATGAAGTGGACAGCTGTAACATCTCTTCAATGAAAGGCATTTAGGAGATTATCCACACTAATTTCCCCCCGGCCTTAATTTGAGACCGGCCTTTATTTGTCCGTGTTGATCACGCACCCGGCCACTATCAGAGACCCGGCGTTTATTTGAATACCGGTTTTTATTTGAGGAATTGCGGTATGTAGATCAGAGAAATAGTTAGGGAAGTTATGGTTATCCATGCCAATTATATACAAGTGTATTTCAGATAATGAAACAGTTGGATTCACTTTACACTACATCACTGAATAATGCGTATACTGTATATTTACAGATGATTCACAACAGTATAGCGAAGGTCAAGGAGAAATGCGACAGCTCAGGGAAGGTCAAGGAGAAATGCGACAGCTCAGGGAAGGTCAAGGAGAAATGCGACAGCTCAGGGAAGGTCAAGGAGAAATGCGACAGCTCAGGGAAGGTCAAGGAGAAATGCGACAGCTCAGGGAAGGTCAAGGAGAAATGCGACAGCTCAGGGAAGGTCAAGGAGAAATGCGACAGCTCAGGGAAGGTCAAGGAGAAATGCGACAGCTCAGGGAAGGTCAAGAGGACCCACACCCTGTCATGGAAGGTCAGGAGATATTTAATGATATAGGATTTTTCATTCAGGCCACAAAATCAGTTGAAGAAATCTTAGAGAGTGTGCGTAAGATGTCTGATGGCCAGAAATACCATTTACTTAGGAACCACAACAAGCCTTCTAAAAACTTCATTTTTCCAACACAATTTCTTGCTGGCTGCAATAGAGCATTCAAACTCGGGTGGTTGGAGGAATATGGCTGGTGGTTGGTGTATAGTTCCAACCTTGATGGTCTCTTCTGTGTGTGCTGTGCCCTGTTTGTCAATGCCAAAGAGAGAAAACAAATGGGAGTGTTAGTAAATGGCCCATTCACAAAATGGCACAAGAAAAGCATGGTAATAGGTAGCCATTCAACAAAAGCATATCACTTGGCTGCAGTTGAAAATGCTCAGTTGTTTCTCCAGTCAGTTGAAAAACCTCAGACACAAATCTCTGTCCTTATGGACAATAAGAAGAAAGCCAATATCAAAGAAAACAGGCACATACTCAAGTCTGTAGCAGAGAGTGTACTATACTGTAGTCGCCAGTGCATTGCACTTAGAGGTACATCTGAGAAGCAGAATTCTACTGGCAATCCTGGAAATTTTTTGGCCCTGATGAAACTACTTGCAAACCATGATGAGAAACTGAAGCAGCACATGGAACAGCCAAAGCTCAGAAATGCCACCTACCTCTCGCCCCAAACCCAAAATCAGATGATTGACGTGATAGGAAAGCGAATAATTCAGGCCCAGATTGTGGACGAGGTCAAAAATGCACAGATCTATACAGTCATGGCTGATGAGGTGACATCCCATAATGTAGAGCTGATGCCATTGTGTGTAAGGTTTGTGGACAAAGACCTAAATATCAGGGAGGAATTGCTGGAGATTTGCTCTCTGCCACGAATCACAGGCAGCCACATTGCAACCGCAATTAAGGATGTGCTGAGTCATCTCAACATGGAGATTGGTGATTGCAGAGGCCAGGGGTATGATGGTGCAAGCAACATGAGCAGTCAAAATGTTGGTGTCCAGGCTCTGATCAAGAAGGACGCACCTAAAGCAGTGTACATGCACTGTAATGGGCATTGCCTGAACCTTTGTTATTGCACGCTCCTGTGCTCTTCCAGTAGTGCGCAACATGATTGACAAGATGAAGTTTACCATCATATTCTTTACCTACAGCCCAAAGCAACTACTCATGGAGGTTGTACATAAGGATGCACACTCTATGGGACAGAGGAAACCACTGATTGACATATGTCGCACAAGATGGGCAGAAAGACATGACGCATACAGCCACTTTTATAGTGCCTTCGTCTTTATTGTTAAGGCTCTAGAAGTCATTGCACTTGGTCTCCATACAGAAGATTACAGCCAAGATGTCACCACTGGATGGCAGAGCAAGTACAAAGCAGAGGCCTATAGTCTCTTGTCTGGGCTCCAAAACTTTGGTTTCATCCTGACCTTCCTCACCGTCTATCAAGTCTTGTCCCACCTTACAGGCATCACAGTGAAGCTGCAAAAAGCCTCAGTTGACATCGTGGAGGCATTTAGCATGGTAGATGAGGTCAAGAATATCTACAAGGAGCTACGCGAGACAATTGAGGATGACTTCAACCAGATCTACAAGCAAGCCATCAGGATGGCTGCTCAGGTCGATGTTCAGCCTACCAGTCAACCACGTGTTGCTGGAAGGCAGACACACAGAGGAAATGTACCTGCTGAAACTGTGAAGGACTACTATCGTCGCAACATGGCTATACCTTTCCTTGACCATGTCATCTTGGAGTTTGAATCCAGATTCAGTCCTCTATCTGTAACCGCATCAAGGCTCCTGGGTCTAATTCCGTCTATACAGTGCAACTCAGGTGTGACAGTGGACATTTCTGAAGTAGTCCAACTTTACCAAGATGACTTACCTTCACCAGAGCTGATTGACCAGGAACTGAAACGCTGGACACTTAAGTGGCAAAACACGCCATCAGAACAAAGACCAACTTCATGTGCTGAGGCAATCAAACAATGTGATGCGCTGATCTACCCAAACATCTTTAAGCTTCTCAAAATAGCTTGTACTCTGCCAGTCACCTCATGTGAATGTGAACGGTCGGCCAGCACTCTCCGGAGACTGAACACTTTCATGCGTAGCAGCATGGGAGAGGACCGCTTGTCATCCCTGGCCCTCATCCATACACACTATGACATGGCAGTCAACCTGGATGAAGCTGTGAACATATTCTCTAAATTGCACCCAAGAAGATTGGAACTGACCAGTGTACTAAATCCATAAATACAGCAACAAGCAAAGAGGCATTGACAGAGAGTCAAGAAATGATGATGAGAAGAAAAATTACTATGAATATTTCAGTAAAGTTTATTAAATCTATTCTGTTGTTAGTGTGGTCTTTAAACTTATCAACTGTGTATGGACTGACAAAGGTGTTACATGAGGAAACAATTTGACAAAAAATGCAGTAAATATTTTAGGTGCACCAAAAAGCGTGCTTGTTTACCAGCAGACAATCTAATCCAGCACAAATTAGTGCATAAAAGGTCACCAAAATTAAGTTTTTGAACCTCATATTTAAATACAAAAGGAGGAGAAAAACTGCAAAAAGGTCCACTTTTTGATAAAAAAAGAACCCCCCCCCCTTTCAATAGGCTGGCTACGGACCTGATACTGATAATTAATCACTCAAACCCCTTTATCTAAACCTCTCTACATAACCGCCTGACTCGCGCGTCCTCCATGTCTGTAGTTTTTTAACACTTTTCACTTGTGTTTGTAGTTCTAACTCGTCCAACGCGCGATGGGTTGTGGGCAATATCAGCCGTTAGAGTGCGCATCGATCTGCACTTCGGATTCTGACCGGAAATAGTAGACCATCCGGGTCTCTTTGGGACACTCATTTCAACATACTACGATTTGGGACGTACTAATTCTATTTTCGAATACTATTTAGGACGGATAGTATGCGAATTGGGACGCAGTGAAAGTCTATGAATGAGCGTTTGGTATCACTGCCGTAAAACATGACGTAACGCTTCTTGAGGGCGCAATTTTTGAATTTGAATTCATCACCATGATCGCGGGATTTGATGTGTAACGTTACGGTCGCTGCTGAGAAATGGAGATGAAGATCACTGGATAAAAGGCTGAATTTGGATCTGTTTCTTGCAAACAACGTACGGATTCGAAAGATTTGAATTACATCAAACTAATAAAATTGATGTCTTTTGTGAATTTATGTTGTGTTTTATAGGAGAAAACGCTTTTTTGTGTCTCACTATAAATAAACTATATTACAAAATGGTTAAACAAGTAAAGAAGGTATTTTTAAGGTTTTAAAGTGTATTCTTGTTTAACACCATGCAGGCGAAACGAGCAAAATGTTAATATTTATGAGTATTATATTAATAAATGCGACTGAAAACGTAATTGATAGAAGAGTGTTATGCAAAAGAGTCAAAACATTAATGCTACAATTTTAATATGCATAAATATACGTACAAATTTGTACGTCGGTAGATTTGTTCATACGTAAATAAATTACGTTTTTGTGCTGTCAATACATAAATGGTTTACATTTTAGTGCTGTAAATACGTCAGTATTATACGTTTCTGCGTGTATAAAACGTAAATAAATGTAGGTATGTTAGAACTACACTTTACGTAAAAATACACACGTATTCTCATGAGATCACGTTGCAGGACCCCATTATAAACACTACACACTGGAGGTTAAAGGGGTCATATAATGGTACATGCACTTTTACAAGTTGATTGTACTGAAATGTGTGTTGGCAGTGCCTGTACACAACCATCATAAAATGATAAAAATCCATCCAGTGTTTTTGTTTTAATCTCCTTGTATGTTTTCCCCTGTCTCAAATCGTGTGACGTCACACGCTCGGAAGCCCCTCCCACGATTGTTGATTGACAGCAGCGTTTCAACACAGACCCGCCCTCGCTCGTGAGCGAGCTGTCAATCATAGTCTGCGCGGACCGGTGCGGTCATTGTTGATATATTGGAGCACTGTCTATGAGCAGAATGGCGTCTAAGCGATTGTGGTGTTCTGTTCTTGGGTGTAATAATGAACACAGCAGTCATTTTAATGTTCCTAAATCCGAACCGCTGAAGACGCAGTGGCTGAGTTTGTTTTCGAAGGGAATATTCCCCACGAGCAACGTCAATGCTTTCATGTTTGCGCGAATCATTTCTCACCAGACTGCTTTATAAACGAGGGTCAGTATAAAGCTGGTTTTGCTAAGAAGCTGCTCATGAAAAAAGGATCGGAACCTATTCGTCTTCCTGCTGAACCTTCAGAAGAACTGAAGTGAGTGTAACGTTTTATTAAACTTTATATTAATATTTATATTAATCTTTGCAAATCGCTAGCTGCACGCTTCACAATGAATGCGTCTAAGGTTTACACTTAGGGTACATTACGGCATGTTTTCTATGTATGATGTTCTCAATATAATTCATAATCCCACGTTTATACTGAACAATGCGTTATGGTTATTGTGTTATTGTGTTACAAACGGTGTACGCATAGAACAGAGGGGCGGGGTGAGCAAAGCTCATTATCATTTAAAGTCATATGCACTGAAACGGCGTGCTGAAAACAGAGCTGTTTTTGACCAAGTAAAATAAGTGTTTTCTTACAATACTAATGAGAATTTGTAATTAAAGTATATTACAAACTTTTAATTTAGACCCTAAAGAATCATACTAGCTTGTACAAAAATGGCATTATATGACCCCTTTAATGCATCTGCCATGGTCATTAAAGGGATACTCCACCCAAAAATGAAAATTATGTCATCATTTACTCACCCTCAAGTTTTTGCAAACCTGTATGAGTTTCTTTCTTCTGCTGAACACAAAGGAAGGTATTTTGAAGAACGATTGGAACTTTGGCACCATTGACTTCCATTGTATTTTTTTTTATATATATACTATGGATGTCAATGGTGCCAAACAACTGTTTGGTTCCAATCGTTCTTCAAAATATCTTCCTTTGTGTTCAGCAGAAGAAAGAAACTCATACAGGTTTGCAACAACTTGAGGGTGAGTAAATGATGACAGAATTTTCATTTTTGGGTGGAGTATCCCTTTAAGGCCATAAAGCTTTTATTCTGCTGATAGAACCTACAGTATGAAAGTGCATTACTTTGGAATAGCCATACCTCCAGAGATGGATGGGCTGCTTTCTTCATCTTAAAGATCAAATATCTCAAAAGAGATTATTAAAAGAGATCAAATGCCTTTAGAGTTCAAGTTACAAGAACTTATATACGTTTTATGAAAAGCCCTTCATCATTTGGTTTATTGTAAACTTTCCCAATAGAATAAGGTTCCCAATAGAATAACCGTGTAAAGTGTCTTTATGAACATCTAAGATGGTCTAGCTATTTTAGTGTATTATTTTGTCAGTAATGTAACACACACTGTATTAAACACCACCATTTTAATTTCTTTTTGATCAATGAATTCCCATGACTTTTCCATAATGTTTCTAATTATAATATTACTATGGATTTTTTCAAAAGCATTTTCATTCAGATTTGACAATTTGGAAATCATCATGGAAGTAAGCTTTACTCTTAAAATAAGAACAATATCTAAACAAATTAAATATTTTGCTGAGCTGATTATTCACAACAGAAATTCCCAAGAGGTTTCAATGATTTTTAAGGTTTTATAAATTTAATTAACATTCTAAGCCTGGAAAAGTCCATTTTAAAATTAACTGAAATTTCCAACTGACAAATGGCATCCAAGTTCATTAACTTGACAGACATTGATTTTCTAATATAGAGACTCTGGACTAAAGATTTTTTTAAACGGTTCACATTTTTCCAACAACTGCAAAATCGAATCAGAACAGCAAATTAATATTTATTAGGATACAAACACATATAAAGATATAACACTTGCATTTTTATTTGAAATGTTCCCCATTAGTGAATTATTTAGATTTTTTATTATTATTATTTTTTGTGTGTGTGTCTGTGTTAGGGGTGGGCGCTATACCGGTATGAACGTGACTACCGGTATTATGTTGTACCATGATATGGATTTTGCGATACCGAGAATACCGTTAGATATTCATAAATTCAAATTTTGTATATTGTTTTGTTCAATTTGGTACTCTTTACAACGTTAAAATAACACTACTAATGACGATACAAAATCGAGGCTGAACTTAACCTTTTCCTCTTGTGTCCATCTCGCGTGATGCACAGGCATTAATAATCAAACACTGAGAGCATGGTAGCAGTCCAGTGTTTCCCACCACACACAGACTAATTCGTGGCGGTGCGCCACAGAATAGGCCTATTTCACAAAATGGCCCCCGAGACCGGAAGTAGGGTAAACTCTTTTCCGGTGAAAACGCTAGCAGTTACAGTCGGAGGACAAATGCGGAAACTGTAAGCGGTCTAGTCCTGTTGCTTACCTTTTTATGGTGTTTATGTCAACCCAAAGAAGAAACAACCCTATTTATCACTTCACAGCTTTCCGTGTTTTACGGGTTTTCATGGAACAACTGGGGAGAGGTTAAATCACGCCAGACACAGACGGCAAAAAGACTTCTGGTCGCGCCGCCGCCCGCTACGATCGCCATTCATTTTCAAAATGGACTTTGAACAGCTTGTTTTCTCTCTCAGTCATTCATATAACGTTATCTGACAAAAGTAAGAATATCAGATGTTGTCCGTTTTGTTGATAGTTTTCAGGGAGTTGTGAAAAGATCGAAATTGGACAAATTCTTGATGTTTGCTTAGTGCTTACGTTACATAAAAAAAAGTTCCATTCATTTAAATGGCATGACACTTGATGACTAAGCTCACATTTAACGTTAATATATCGAAAAACAATAAATAAATAAATTGAAATGATGTCTGATTGTAGGCTATGAGTGAAATCTAGTGGCTTTTGTTAAAAAAAATCATGTTATTAAGTGTTAGTCCAGGAGATTGCAGTAATCTTCCACTAGATTATGGCTCCTTTTTCATGTTACCATGAATGAAACTAAGAATTGTACATCTTTACAGTGAATTTGACCTCACGTTGCTAGTATGTCTAATAATGAAATTACAAAAATAGTTAGACTAAAAACATGAATGAAGTGATTGATATTACATGTTTTAAAAAAAAATTATGTTACAAAAAATAATATTTAACTGTCTGGGGTCCCCTTATGAAAAGAAAATATTCCCTATATGAATTATCAATATATGAAATGGTTTAACAGTACGGTATATTTGAAAACATACAGAAT